TCCCAACATACCCAGGTTTTGACCCCCTCTAAGGATCTCACTAATTGGCATATCAAAGACAGCCAAATCCGACACCTAGTGCAGTATCATAATCGAGTCTAGGGGTCAGGTGTAACATTCCAGTTTTGCCCATCTATCTCCAAGGTCCAGGGCAATACTAGAATTTTAATCCAGTTCAGGGCTTCAAGAAAATCCACACTGCATGTACCTCAGGTCTCACCCTAGCAGCTGAGACAAGCCAGTCCAACCAACTTGGCTATACATCAGTGTCAGCCTTGGCAAGATAAATCTCCCCAGATCTATCCAATGGCTGTGAAGATTCTAAACTAACACGAGTCTCATAAGTATCCAATTTAAGGGTATTACACAAAAACACACCATAATAACACAAATCAAATATGTACTTTATTCATTTACATTAAATGTCATAATGTACACCATTCTTATTGAAGCTAAGGGCATTTAGCAATGTTTGTGTTGATTAAACCCTAATAAATAATAAAATAATAAAAAGAAATTGGTGTATAAACACACAAAATGAATATTTTAGTTTAAAAATGTCTATTTTATAATTATAACCTCAAAAAATTAAGAATATAAAGGTTTTTTATAACATGCTATAGAAAACTACTTGGCGATTAGTCAAGGCGAGCCTCCAAGGGCGCCTTGTCGCCTTGACAACGATGGTTGTACTTTGCATCCTATTTCTAACTATGTTTCTATCTCTCATCTTTCTGCTTCCCATCTTCAATTTGTCTCCCTTTTGTCTATTGTTTCTATTCCTAAGAATGTCTAGGAAGCTATCACCTCCCTAGAGTGGCGCCAAGCAATGGAAGGAGAACTCCCAACACTTGATCATAATCACATGTAGGGGCTCACCACTCTCCCTCCTAGCAAACATGTTATAGGTTGTAAATGGGTGCATACCGTCAAATACTTACCAGATGGAAGCATAGAGCACATGAAGTCTAGGTTGGTTGCCAAGGGGTACTCTCAATTGTATGGAGCGGATTATATAGAAAAGTTCTCTCTTGTTTCCATAATAGGCTTAGTTTGTGTGTTGATATCCATAGTAGCTATGTATGACTAGCCCTTATTTCAGCTTGACATTAAGAATGCCTTCCTACATGGCGACCTTAGTGAAAAAGTGTATATGAAGCAACCACCAAGGTTTGTTGCTCAGGGGGAGGATGGTAAGGTGTGTAGAGTTAAGAAGGCAATTGAGACTGAAACAATCTCCATGTGCCTAGTTTGGTAGATTTAGTGAGGTAGTTAATGATTTCAATATGAAGCAATGTTAGGTTGATCATTCGGTGTTCAGCTATGATTTGAAACTGGAAAGGTTCTGTTGGTGGTTTATGTAGATGACATTGTTATTATAGGTAGTGATAAGTTGGGGATTGATAAATTGAAGGTTTTTCTGTAATGATCAGTTTCAAACAAAAGACCTTGGCAAACTAAAATACTTTCTAGGAATAGAAGTTGCAAGAGCGAAGCATGACATCAATTTGTGTCAAATGAAGTATGTACTTAGCTTGTTAGAAGAGACAAGATTGTTGGGTACTAACCCAGCTAAAACACCCATTGAGCCCACCATCAAACTAAGCATTGATGCTGGTGAAGAATTTGATGATCCTCGGAGTTACAAGAGGTTAGTAGTAAGTTGAATTATTTGACTATTACCTAGCCTGACATTTCCTTTGTAGTGAGTGTGGTCAACCAATTCATGCAAAAGCCCTGAGTTCCTCATTAGGATGTAGTTCTGAGGATTGTATAGTATTTGAAAAGGGCTCTGTGTCATGGATTATTATAAAAATCAAGAGGAAGTCTTGAAATAGAGGGTTATAAAGATGTAGATTGGGCAGCTGAGTGTCCAATAGCTGGCATCAAAGGAGTTTTAAGAGACAACAAGGATTTTATTTGTTGAGCCTATAGTGGACCAATTGAAAATGCTGACTCTACCAAGGCTGAAGTGATGGCTACCCTCGCAAGTATTCAAATAGCTAGAAACTTGGGAAGTCAGAACCTAACCATTGTAGGTGAATCTGCAAATACCATAAAATGGTTAGGTGATAAAGAAGGTGACCCATAGATACTAAGTCATTTCCTTTCAGAGGCTAGAGACTTACTAGATCCCTTAAGTGTCAACTTGCTCTGGATTTTCAGAGATCTAAAGTTAGTAGCAGATGGTTTAGCAAAGTTTGGTGCTCTTTTAGATGTGTTGTATAATGATAGATTGCTTCTTGTGTAATCTCTTGGGGTTCCCCTTGCCCCTTTGTACATCTTCTCGTGTACTTCTTTGTTTTTCTGACCAATGTTTCTGTACCTCTTTGTTTTTCTAATGAATTCCACTTAATTTCTCTCAAAAAAAGAACATCTGTTAAGCTTTTCAAGAAGCAAGGTTATTGTGAATAGCTCCCTATATTGGTGTTCCTTCCCAAATGTAGGGATAAAAAGGGGTGGGTTCAAGGAGGGTTTTGCAAATTCCAAAGCCTCCCCACCTCCCCAAACCACCCAACCATACCTGCAACAGGTTGGATTTTCAGAATCCAAACCCTTCCCACACATGAAAATGCAAAACCCACCCTGCATTTGAGGGTAGGGTGGATTAGGTCCAAAACCCGCATCTAATTCCTTGTTACTTCCTATTTTTCATCAAGATTATTTCCTGTTATATAAAAGCAATAAACAACTGTTAGATATTCGATCAGACCTGATTTACTTCCTAAAATAAAAGGGAAAATAGAGAGGAAGAAGAGAGAAAGAAGGATAAGAAGAGAGGAGAAGATGAAGAGATTGTTTGGCTGTTCTCAAAAGAGAAAAGTCTCACTCCCCAGCCTACCAGAACAATATATATAGACGTCTAGTTTAAAGTACAATGACCATAGTGCCCCTCTTTATGTATGGGACACTTACCATGAAATGACTCAAATACCCCTGACTATCGACTCTAACAACAACCAAAATAACATGAACAAACATTAAAATTTCCAATAATTGAAATAATTCATGTTATATGTAAGCAACAAACAACCAAAGTAACATAAAAATTTCAAATAATTGAAGACAAAACATGTCATTACACAGGAGGTAGATGGCAACAGGTGTTGGAAGACCAATATAAGCACTAGGGGTACTTTAGTAAATTTAATGTACAGATTGGGGAGGGTCGTGTTTAGCCAAAACCCATACACATACAGGTTTTGAAACCCCAAAACCCCCGCCCCCACCCCAAAATCCATTATTCAAACAAAAAAAAAAAAAAACTGCCCTGATGCACCAGGTTGGGTGGAAATTGCCCTCCATACTCAAATTTGGCGTTCACACGGCCTTGCCAGCCAACACTCTCCCAGATGTCTAACATTAATTACACCATGGAGAGCCTTTGTTCTTTTCTGTTCAAGCTGCTGAGAACACCTTGAAACTTTCCATACTTCTCACCATCCTAAGCCTGCATACCAATTACCATAGCAACTTTCCATCCCTACACCTGCTTCTTTGGATTACATAAATTATCAGTTAAGGGAGAAACTGATAGATTATTGAATTTGACCCAAAAACCTTGGTGGGTCAAGTTGCATATCTTAGATAACTCACCTAAACGTCTAAAACTGCAATTCATATTCTTGATTCATTCCTTTAAGCTCTCAGTTCAATTAGTTCCTGTAGGACCTTCCTATCCTACATCAAGAGAATAATCAGAAACAAATGATGAGCCTTCCCCCCAACATACACACATACACACTCTCAGCTAAATGAGGTCATAGGAGTAGATAAATATATTTTCAACCTTTGTTCTCCCCCTGTTAAATTTCCTTATTGAAAATATAAGACCTAGAGATATGACCTTCACATGCGAGTTCCAATCTCCTGTCAAACTCATCTTCAATAGTTGAATGGTTGATAAATATCTTCTATCAAGATCCAATTCGAGTTGAAGTCAGTTCAAAATTCCTGCCCTTAGCTACGTTCCACTGCCATGATCAGAAGTGAGGGTTTAGGAAGCTTCTCACATCACCATCCTATATAAGCTGGTTGTAGAATCACTTGACAATTTATCACCCCAAAAAATAGTTAAGTCTTTGACAAACCTAATCATGTTGGCTAAACCTACTCTATACCTCATCTAGATTGCCAATTCATATCCTATGAGCATCAGCCGTCCCCAGAAATTATTAGAACCAATAGAATATCATAAGGCAAAAAAAAAACTTATCAGGAAAAGAAAAAACACAAAGCAAAAGTTGCAACTTACGTAGTTGTATGAAAAATATATGCAGTACATCTAGAGGAATCAACCACTAAATTAAAATGATAAAAAAATGTTTCGATAATTAAAAGGTCTTGACATATAAATAATAGAAAGAAATCTGCTAGTGTAAAAGAGAAGAGATACAGAACAACAATTCTTTTGAATTAGGAAATCTTACAGGGAGTGGATAAGTAAAAAGGACCGCATTCTTTTCCTTCGTGTAGATGATTAACTGCAACAATCCATTGAAGACAATATACTTGCCAGAGTCAAAGAAGGAACGAACTTTTTGAAGGTGTACTTCCACGGAACCACTAAATTATTTCCTATAGCAGAGACGCATTAATAAACTAGGTAAGAAAAGAAAGGATATAATATGATGCATCCAATGAGAAAGTCTCTGTTTTGAGGGAATTTCTTCGGGTAGAACTGAGCAACGAGAGCAATGACAATGATGATGATTCCCAAGAACAATCTGATATTGCTCATTCTCACGTCTTCCACATATCCGCGACCGGTAACGAGCTAGGAGAAGAAACGCTATTAAACAATCAGATGCGCCATAAATCTAATAGAAAGGAGGGGAAGAATGGATCCACTCAGAAAGAGAAAAAATGATTTGGGAGCTGTTACCTCCGTGACAGATTCGTCGAGAAGATGTTTGATAGAATGAGGATCCATCAGATTAGCCTTTTTAGGGTTTTGGGGAGAAGGGTTACCGCTGTGCACCATGTCTCCCATCTTTTCCTGCATTTCGGGTTATTCCGCTCTGAGAATGGCAGAGAGAGAGACGAGACTTTTTTTTGTAAACAGAGAGAGGAGACTTAGACTACTCGTAGGCTGTCACTTCACTTGATTAGGTCTGCTTCCGGACACGGGCACACGGCCAATAATTATTTTTGTAAATCTTGTGGGAAGACGTATAAAAACGAGAGGCCCCGAGGTGGGTTAACACTTTTAAAGATTGTTTTTTCCTGTTCTTTCAAACAAAAAAATGAAAGAAAAAAAAACATTTATTTTTAAGACCATATTCGTTTGCTTGAAGTTTATGGTCTCAAAGTGCAATAATTATGTTAAAAGATATATTAGTATTAGTGAATTTTTCTTTTCTTCAAGTCTGGATGAGATATTGTATTTTGATCATATATACGAGAGTTTTTGAGTATCATTGGAAAATAAAAAAGTTGTATCATTGCATTTAAAGAAATTAGAGTTAAAGGAAACAAACAACCATTTTTCTCTTAAAGTTAAAATATTCCTCTTAAGAAACAAGAGTTAAGATGAAATGAACAAGCCCTAACCTTAGCCCGCCCTAAAAGTTTATAAAATTTTAAATTGTATAAAACATTCCCCCCACATCCAAAAGTTTGAAGAGAAAAAACACATGTTCATGTCTTCCATCAGATGAATATAGAGAATATAGTACCTATTGAAATGTTTCTTTTAAGTCCTCTAATGCTTAGGTATTTGTTTCTCCAATTATTTTTCCATTCATTGTAAAGTTGGTCCTCTTTGTTGTTTAAAATCTTCATCCAAGCAACACGAACAAAAAAAGACAATTAGAGAGTATGTCTTCAATTATTATAGCTCTTGCTCAAAATAAACCCATATGCCTTAATAATTGAGCATGGAGGCTTTGGATGTCTTTGATGTCTCTAAATCACACCAACTTCATAAATCTTGATAATTTATTACACCTCTTTCTCAAAACAAGCCCCTATGCTTTATTAATTGTGCATAGAAGCTTCAAATGTTGTTGAAGATCTCTAAAATGATATAGAGGCTTCAAATTTCTTACACTCTAATAATTAAACATGGAGGCTTTGGATGTCTTTGAAGATCTCTAAAATCTCATAGATTTTTTATATGGTATTATCAATTCGTATTAGTTTTTATTAAAAAATCTGTATACATTATTATGTTGCACAATGGAGACATTGGGCAAAAAAGAGAGGGGAGAGGAAGAAGTTCATTGGTTAAACATTGTTGCGGGTAGTATTAAAGGGACAAGGGACTATAACAGTTGGTCAAGCAACTATTTATGTGAGCATTTATTTAATTTGCATGATCAAATAACCATTGAACAATGAATTAGTTTCTAGTGGTTACATGGACAATGATGATTCCAAGGTGTGGTATTGTTTCGTAGGTTGTACGAGGACTATACAAATCAACACCACCCTACCCATTCAATACACACTCCTTTTCTTCTTCCAAAATACAAATCAACATCATCCATCCCATTCAATACTCACTATGACTTCTTTTACACTTCTCTTAAACTTACTATGACTTTTCAAAACATCCATAGAGCCCCCAATCATTGAGTTTTATTGTGTAAAGCTCATCTCTTGTTAAGATTCCCGTTAGATGATCATTAGTGACCATCAATAAAATTTGTCCATGTAAGCATTCAAGTATTTTGTATGACTAAACTACCACTAAAATGGTTGCCTAGACTAGGCTTAAAGTATTATGCCCAAGCTCGATTCTAAAATATGTGGGCCTACTTTGGGCCTATGACCAAGTATGGGGTAATTTCATTAAAAAAATATTTAGGATGTATTTGATTCGAAGGAATAGAAGCCTAGAATCAGAATTGGAATGACCCATTCCGATTCTTGCCATTTGGTTGAGCAGAATGGGAATGATTCCCATTCTAGGCAGAATGGGATTCCCCCATATGGGGAAATGGTCATTCCCGACCCCTCCCTAGGGAAAGCGACTCCCATTCCCATCCATTTATTTTATTTTATTTTTTGACATAAAAACCCATGTTCAATTCTAAACCTTTGTTCTAAAATTTGAGGATTCTCTAATCAATTCCTTCGACCTCCATATTAGTTATCACCGTCACCAACCCCATCTTCAACGAAGTAAAACCGCTACCAACCAACTCCATCTCTGGCAATGTAATACCGCCGATGACCAAACCACATCCTTTCCTCCTCCTCCTCCTCCTTCCAAACCAGTAGCCACCGCTCTTTGGGTTTACAAAGCAATCTAGAGTATTGTTTCTCTTCTTCTTCTACTGCTTGTAACGATAATAGCATCTATCCCAGACGCTAGAAGCTTGTTGTGACATTTTGTCGCGCAAGAGGTTAACAATCTTGACGAAGAGTTCAGGTTTCACTAATCAACTAGTTTGGATCATCCACCTCAAACATTGATTTCAATAGGTGTGAGGCATAGGCTTGAGATTGGTAGTTCCAACGTTGCGAGACACGAGTCAAGCAGTCTACGAATTTTCCCTCTCTGTTCATGAGACTCTTGAGGCTAGACTATGAGATTTGAAAATGGTAAAGGAGGCTGAGTGCTTCATCACTGGCTGTTGTAAACTCAAGTCCATCCTCCACCGATGTAGAGATGTCACTCTTAACTATTGACACCAAGAATTGAACAACCCGTACAGCTTCCATGCATCTCTTGTTTCTATAACTTTAAGACACCATCGACTTGAGCTTCTGTAGACATGTCATCTGCAACTGTGGCAACAACATCATTGAGTATCTTGGCCTTATCGACGGGTGGCTTCGGTGTCAAGAATGGTTCAATCCCTTTCAAACATCTAACAAGCCCTATTTGATGTTCCTGTCAACAATGGAGACCCATGCTAGGAAGCCATGATTAGAAAGCAAGTAGCGGTTATCAAACGCCGAGAACCCATTTCAACAAGTTTGCTTGTTGGTGATTGCAACAATCAACCATGTTTGAAATCTGACCGATGTTCAATAATGGATGCCTTGTGTTAATAGAGCAATCTAGAGTCATTAACAGCAAGTTTGTTGAATATTGTCATGTCTTGGCATTCACTCAAACCAGCTTAAATCTATCCCTAAAACTATCAAGAATTACAGGTGGGTTATTTCTTCTTCTTCCTCTAGTTCGAGATTGGTCATTTCTTTACTATTGCCATTGAAGTTCTTTTAACTAGAGCAAAATTGGAAATTTAGGTTGATTCTGATTCCGGCTTCTAATTGAATCAAATAGCAACAATCGGAATCCCATTCTGATTCCTGACTGAACCAAACAAACACTAGGAATAGGTGATTCTAATTTCGATTATGGTCCTGCCTATGAACCAAACGGACCCTTAATAAGCTTGATTGGCCATTTAGGGGTAGTTCGGCCATATAAAATAATTAAATGCTTACATGGACAACTTTTATTAATGGTCACTGATGTAGGCGCATTCGGTTGGCCTATACGGAGCTGACATGTGTTGACTAGAGGACGCCAGCACAGGCTAGCCATGAGGATGCTCAAGGTTACCTAACGTAGACCAGGTAGACCCAATCACAGGGCATTGTGTGGTTCTAGTAGAGCATCTCGCCAGGACCTCGTACAGCTCGCATCTGGACCATTCGAGCACAACTACCCCCTGGCAACTCCGACTATAAATACGAGGTACCCCCCACAAGGTAATGGATTCGAAAACCTTTGTGATCTCTAGTGCTCTCTCCTCTAAGGACTCCTACTATAAATACAAGGTACCCCCACAAGCGCTATCTTGAGACATCATCTGGACCCCTCGGTTCCAAACTCATTGCCTACTTGGTGCACATACTAACTTGACCGTTGGAGTCCTCGCCTCGAGTCATCACCCTAGACCTCTAACACCCTCTCCCTTGCAGATTCACTACCGCAAGAGTTGTATCTCATCCCTTTTTGGACGCCCTTCTCAACACTAGCCCTTGGCTTCTACCATATTCAAAGGATCCACCCCGGCCTCCAGCCCTCAGCCTCGGCTTGTCTCCTCCGAACCCTCAAAGCCTTTGGCCCTCCTTTGAATCTTGGGAGTGAATTTACTTTGTTGCTTTCGGCCAACCCGAGCATCAACAATTGGCTCAATTTGTGGGAAATGTTGCTAAGATGATCCCCCAAAACACTGCAAACTCAAGATCTCTTAAGCTTCAAACAACATAGTATGAAGAGCCAGGAACCTCCAGAACCTAGTCACGAATGAACAGTTTCAAGCGGTCGTCGACCATTTGGAATACCTCGTGCAGTGCGTGGAACAAGCCTGACCCCAGGCAAGATGTCCCTCCCGAGGCGACCGCCTTGCTGGGGTGTCAGATCACCAGGGCTGGCATGAGCACGTCGAGCCCCCAGCGCTCGGCCTGGCCAACCCTCAATGGGCCAAGCCCACCGAGTCTAGCAACAACCGACCCGCCAGCCCAACACAAAGAAATGTGAGGCCTTCTAGCCGAAGGGAGGAAGAGCCAGCGCAGTCTGAAGACAACTACCAACATTTTAAACAACACCACTGTCGTAGGATGGAGAACCCTTAGGATAAAGGTGGGCACCTCGGCCATCATAGAGCCCACTCAAGGGCTGAGGGCCGATGTTGCGCCGGTCTCATACCTTCATGACGTCCTGAACAACCGCCACGCCATACGGGAGGTGCGTGGTCCTGCCTCAGAGCATTTCGGAGTTCGTGCCAACCCTCACCATGCCCACAAAGATAGATACGAGTGGCAAGCTCCAACTGACCCTCGGATTGTAGAGTTGCGAGCCGAGCTAGGGGCTGTCAAAGATGAGCTCTGCCAAGTCTGAGAGAGTCGGTTTAATGCCTTAGCCGATCAAAGCAATCCGACGAGTAGAATGGATGCCTTCACCCTGGATATCATCTCCGAGCCTCTCTCCCAACACTTCAAGGCTCCCGCACTGGAGATGTACGACGGGACTTCAAACCCCGATGACCACCTGGAGAGTTTCAGAGCGCTCATGATATTCTATGGATATTCCGATGCCTTGACATGTTGGACTTTCCAGGCCACTTTCAAGAGGGTCGCCCATCGTTGGTTCTCCAGCCTCCTGCCTCTATCAATCAGCTCGTGGGAGCAATTTGCCAACCTATTCCTTGCTTGCTTCATCAGTAGTAGACGATGCTAGAAA